TTTGAATTTAATTCTACTTGATTTTTTTATTGAGTGTTCAACTTAAACTTAAACTCAGGTCAAGTCAGGTTCTCACTCAAATTTTACTTGAGTGGTGTAATTCATTTACAGCCCTAATTACACACTGTCTCTGAAGTCTTAATGACTACAAGAAGAGTGCTGGAACTGCAAAACTAACAAGGGTTGAGGACCAACTCATACTTTGAGCTAAAAATTACAGACCAAAGAAAGCAATTTTGCCTTGGGCGGAGAGAAGAAAACATATGTAGTGGAATTCAACACGATTCACGTGCTAAAATATAATTGAAATTAAAGCTGTCACCGACCGTGAACGTAATAATTGTCCTTCAGTGTGGGGCTGCAGGCAAATTTGAAGAAGTTCGCAAGGTAGCGCAATTTACACCACTCGTAACTACTAAAGAAATTTGAAATGTAATTTGAAATCCGATCTGATAACGTACTAAAAATAATTGAAATTAAAGCTGTCACTGACCGTGAACGTAATAATTGTCCTTGAGTGTGGGGGGCTGCAGGCAAATTTGAAGAAGTTTGCAAGGTAGCGCAATTTGCGCCACTCGTTACCACTAAAGAAATTTGAAATGTGATTTGAAATCCGATCTGATAACGTACTAAAACATAATTGAAATTAAAGCTGTCACTGACCGTGAACGTAATAATTGTCCTTGAGTGTGGGGCTGCAGCCATATTTGAAGAAGTTTGCAGGGTAGCGCAATTTGCACCACTCGTTATCACTAACAAAATTTGAAATGTGATTTGAAATCCGATCTGATAAATACACGGCAACAAGGCTATCTCTTCAATTATATGTTACTGTTTGTTTGATGCAAGTATAAGTTAAAAGATGTCAGACACACATGATGTACCAGACATCCCCATAAAATAAAGAGCATCAAAAAAAGAAAAAACACCCCATTGCGATTCTCGATAATTTGCAGTACTGACATGACTTTAATAAGCTGTGGACTAGTGGTCTGAACTTAAGACATTGGAATTTTGATTTCGCGTCTACACCCCTGATCTTACCAATGTAATTGATTCTTCAAGGCAATTTCTGAGAAAATTCCTATGAAGTGTATCTCTTCTACTTTTGCTTTCATTAAGATATTGGTAAAAATATTCTAATTAGATCTATT